ATATCTATGTATTAGTACAAACGCACTAGAATTACATTTTATATATGTATGTATTTCTCACTTTGCACACGCACATTTTGTAAATGTACTCTTTTAAATAAGGTATTTGTACTTGCACTTGTACGCACATGATATGTAATGTATGTATATATACAAGCGTTGGTCATTTTTATGAAGGCGTATGTGTGTACATATAGAATTGCAGACACATGACTATATGGATGTTGCATGAAACTAAGCATTGCGCGAAGAGCGAGTAAAAACAAAAAGCGAGTATAGTCGGAACAAAGAGATCAAGTTGATGTGGTTTGAAGAAAGGAGGGAAAGAATATTTCAGCAATGCACAGAGAGAGGAGAAGATGAAACTCTTTAAGGGCTTTTGTTTCAATGAATCTTTTTAACCTTTCAAAGCCAATGCGCCTACCTGAAATGCATCGCAAACCGAGAAATCCTCATCATGAAAAGATGATGATGAATTTTTTTTTCTCTTATAATTCTTCCTCTTCTGCTTTTTCTTCTATTTCTTCTTTTTGCTTTTAACTCTTCTTTTTGTTCCACTTCTGCTTCTTGTTTCACTTCTTCTTCTACTTTTTCTTTTTTTCCCTTTTCATATCATTTTCATTTTATATTATTTTTATTTCTTCTAATAACATTTCTTTTCTTTTATTTTACTTTTACTTCTCCTTTTAATTATATTTTTCTGGTACTTATTTTTTATTATCACAATAGTTTGGGACCAGTAAACAATTTTTGTTCTAACAATTAATTGTTAGTAAGCAGAAGATAAAGTTCTTAAAAATAGTAATTTTTTCATCTTCTGCTGATTATCGGCTGTGGTTACTTTTTATGAATTGTGAATTAAATTAATTCTGATGACCCAAATATTAATTAGAATTGTTCTAGCAATAGTTTGGGACCAGTAAACAATTTTTGTACTAACAATTAATTTTTAGCAGACAGAAAATAAAGTTCTTTAAAAAAATAATTTTTCATCTTCTGCTGATTATCGGCTGTGGTTCGGGTTACTTTTTATGAATTGTGAATTAAATTAATTTTAATCACTCGGATAATTAGTGGAATTGTTCTAGTTATAGTTTGGGACCAGAAAGCAATTTTTGAAATAACAATTAATTGTTAGTCAACAGAAGATAAAGTTCTTAAAAATAGTAATTTTTTCATCTTCTGCTAATTATCGGCTGTGGTTACTTTTTATGAATTGTGAATTAAATTAATTCTGATGACCCAAATATTAATTAGAATTGTTCTAGCAATAATTTGGGACCAGTAAACAATTATTTTACTAACAATTAATTGTTAGTAAACAGAAGATAAAGTTCTTTAAAAAAATAATTTTTCATCTTCTGTTGATTATCGGCTGTGGTTACTTTTTATGAATTGTGAATTAAATTTAATTTGATAACCCAGATATTAATTGAAATTGTTCTAACAATATAGTTTGGGACCATTAAAAAATTAATGTTTTCGAATAATTTTCAATTAAAGAAATTTGTAAATAACTGTATTTATCTTTTAAATATCCTAAATTTATATCTAAATCATAAATATTATCGAATTGAAATAAAATTTACTGCTTATTTGTTTTTTTGTATAGGAGAAAAAAAATGAAACATTAATTTCCGGAAATCATGAAAGTGATTTCTTTTTTTATGAAAATCATCGATGACAATAGAATTCTTCGAAAATTATGTAACAGAAAAACTATTTTTTTTGTTTGCTTCACGTTCTTTAGGTAGAGAATTATTTTTCTCACACACCAAAAACCGCAAAATTGCTAATAAAAATGGGTCTTGTATGAGTACATATTCTTGTGTGAGTAATAAAATCGATAAACAATGGGAAAAAAAATAAAAGTTTCTTGATTTTAATATATAGAAAGTGTAAGTATGATATATAATATTATCAAGAAATTCTTTGTGGTATTTAATAAATCATTTCGCAGTCAAGTTTTTTTTCGCACACATAAATATTTCGCACTGAGATATTTTGTGGTTTTTTTACTTTCTCACTACTCTATTTATTCGTTTTGTTTTGAAAAAAAAATCGTTATCTACGCTTTGAGTGTTGAAAAAATATTCGCATTAATTGTTTGACTGAATTCTGTTTGTATTTGTTTTCCAATTAATGGGAAAAAGTTTTTGGTTTTTTATTTGCTTCGTTGGCGCAATTTTTCACACCTGTATAATTCAAAAGCAATTTTTTTGTCGTTTAACAGTTTCGTACTATTTTTTTTAATTCGTATTTTTGTATTGTATTCTATTTGCATTAAAGAAAAGGAAAAAGATTTTGATCATTAAAAGTTTGATTAACTTTTTTGAATTCTCATTTTTTTTTTTGTAAATTCAAAAAATCATGAATCATTACATTTAGACTGAGATTATTACGGTTCGTTTTGTATTAGTCAACTCTTGGCATTTATGTAAATTAAATGACTTGAATTTTACATGCATAGCAAAAGCAAACGCGAGAAATTATGAAGGCCACTTTATACTTGACTTCAATGATTTCTGGATAAAATAAGAGCCACTGCCTGCTGAATTTTAAATTCGTTTCCCTATAATCGAAACAAGAAGATATTCTTGGCTAAGAAAATCTCAACATGGCAGGAATAAAAGGGTCATTCAACTTTCTCTTAATAGATGAATTGAATTATAAAATTCTTCAATATAATTCACAGAGTAGTTATATTTATATTTACTACTTCTTTTTACGATTTGATACCAAATTTGAATACTTTTTCTTGTTTTGTGCCACTAAAAGATACTTTTTTCGATTTTTTTAGAATCTGTACTGTTTTAAATTCCTTAATAGAAATAAAAAATTTCACACGATTAAAGTTACAAATTTTGTTTAAGAAATTGATACTTTCAAGAAAACTGAAATTAATTTATTATTTTTTTTTTTTTATTGAAATTTGTAATTTTTAATCTGGTGCAGTTTTCACGTATGCAGTTTACATTTGTACAGTTTTTAAAATAAATTTGATAATTTTATTTTTAAAATTTGCTTTCATGCAATTTATTGTATACAGTTGAATTGTAAGCAATTAATATCGTTCCAATTATTTCATAAATTATTTATTTTTGTATTTAAATAATTGAATTCTTGTAGAACCTTCTGATAAGAATTGATTTAAATAAAAATTTTCAGTTAATTTCAACTTGGTAAAAATTATCAATTTACTATTTTTCAAAAAAAATTATTAAAGTTTTAAAATATTAATTTCATTTTAAAATTTTTGAAAAATAATTCTATTTTTTAAAAATTGCAGTTGTAATTTTTAGAAATAATTAATTAAAATTTTTTGAAGTTGAATTCTCGAATATAATTTTGAGATCAGAATTTTAAAACTTTTAGGTCTATTTTTCGTTTATTTAATAAAAACGAATAATTTCTTTTTTAAATTGATGAGATATTAATTTTAGTGACAGATTGGAAATAGTAATTTAGAGAAAAAAAAATATCATTTACTTTAGAAGTGGAGCATGATGGGACATCCTGTGTGACGTTTTTTTCTCTCTCTCTCTCTCTCTGCTCGTCTCTCGCACTAGACTCTCATAAGAGGTCGAGAAGCGTTAAACGGATTATGGATGATGGGATTTAAAAAATGAGTGGGTTGATATCTACTCCAGAAGAATTACACTCTGTTTAAAACTAGTTCAGTGGAAGGGAAATATTTATAAACTTAATATTATAACTACGATTTGGTAATAAATTTCTTTATGTTTCATCATGTACGCCGTGATTTTTACGAATTAAATTTTCATTCGATAAAAAGCAGAAGAAGAGCAATCAGATACACTGACAAGAATTTTATTTGATTCAAGTAATAATCGATAAATTTTTTTTATCAAATAAATATTTACTTGAATCAAATACAAATTTACTTGAATCAAATAAATATTTATTTGAATCTAATACAAATTTACTTGAATCAAATAAATATTTACTTGTATCAAATAATTTTTATTTAAATGAAATAAATTGTATTTGAATTTTGAACTAACAATTTTAGTATTTTAGGCAAATAACATTTAATTGACTTAACTAAAAAGTATTTTATACAAATAAATCTTCTCAGTTTAGTACGATAATTTTTTTTACTTTCATTATATTTATATTTATTATTATTTATTATTATATTAAAATGAATAAATACAAATAAATATAAGTAAATAAATATAATATGTAAATATAAGTAAATATTTATTATAACAAAATAAAGTCATGTTTGGAATATTTCTTAGTTGCTTTTAACATTTTAAGGATGAAAATCCATTTTCAATGTATTAGGTTCAGAATTTTTTTCTCATTATTTTATTTTCTAAAATGTTAATGAAGTGAAAATTATATATGTAAATTTTTTTTCAACCGGCTTATTTGTTTAAATTTGAATTTTTTTCTATAAAAGCATTTCCATTGTTTTAATTAGTGTACTCGCGTAATCAACAGGTGTTTAAATCATGAAGAATTATAATTTTCCGAACTTGAAGTATTATAATTTATTGTTCGAGGGAAAAATAGGATTGAATTAAAAAAAAAAAAAATTTCAATTTTTTAAATAACGATTTTAACTTGACATTTCTGAACTTCCTGTCACGTGCTGTCTGGTTCTTGATTAATGAACGTTTCGTGAATCACATGCTCGCCGCTCGATCTCTTTTTCAAATTGAAAAAAGAATGAAACAGAAAAAAGTTTCTTGAGCTTGCAAAGCACGTGTGACAAAATGAATCAGATGCTTGATGAGAAATTAATCTCAACAGTGATTTAACTGTTTTTAATAAGTTAAAAATACGAATTTTTTTTTGTATATAGGTATTTATATATTTTTTAAAAAGATTTTTTTTATTATTTTTTGTATTATTTTTTTTTTACATTTTTTATGCAAACAATTATTTATATTACATAAAATAAGAAAAAATTGTTACCTTCCTCCTTGAGTAATTAGAAATAATTTCGAATATTTTTCTTTATGTTACAGAGCCAATATGATAACTGTCGATGGATCAGGTTAAAAAAAAAAATTCTTACCATTCCTGGTGGATTTTTTTATCAAACATCTCCACAATGTGGATCGAGAATAAAAATTGAGATGCCAGATCGAGGCTAAAAGTAAAAGCTCGACTTTCGAGTTTTAAGAAACAAACAACAAAACAGAAATTAAACCAAAAAAAAAGAAAAAAAAATGTATTCTTTCAGTAAAAAATTATCTCCTGCATTTGCAATAATTTTAATAATTTTTAGTATAAAATGTCATGGATTAGAAGGACCCAATGTCTGTACAAGACAAGAACAGTAAGATTCAATTTTCTTTTTTTGTTATTAAAAAAAAAATTATTTATTTGAATCAAATAAATTTTATTTGGTGGTAATATTTGAATCAAATAAAATTTATTTGAACCAAATAAAATATACTTGAACCAAATAAAATTTGTAAAATTTATAAAATCTTTTGTGTAATTCTAATGGAATTTTTTTTAGAATAGTTAAGGAATTTTTTTTTCTTGATATTAAAATTGTCATTTATTGCAGATATCAAGTTTCAGTTAAGGTATCTGAACAGAAGCCTTATATGGAACGAGAACACACTTGGTGCCTCAGTTTTCCTCCTAGGTGTTCAAAATACAAAGTAATTTACAAGACTGTATATAACATTCAGGTGCGTTTCAAACCTTTTTCTCAATTTACTTCAAACAATTATAAATTGAATGTGATAATTATTTTTAATTATTGCCAGAGTCAATTATTTTCAATTTAAAAATTTTTAAAATAGTTTTAAAACTGTATATTTTTTAATACACATTTGGCATTTTTAAAAACTAAAAATAGTATAGTTTTAGTTACAAATTTTATTTTTACTTAAAATATAATCATTTTTAATTTAATTTAAATAATTAAATTAGAAATAAAATTATAAATAATTAAATCATTAAATTTTGTTTAAATAAATAGTTAATAAATAGTTAATAAATAAATAGTAATATTAATAGTTAATAGTTAATAAATAGTTGAAAACGTTATGAAAGATCATTTTTTCGTAATAAGTAGAAAAAAACAGTTTTGTCAGACATTTCCACTGAAAAAAATATTTTCCTTATTGAAATAAATGTATTATTTATTATTTATTAATAGAAGTAAAAGTAGAAAAGTTAATGAGAAGAAGTAAAAGTAGTTTCGTGTAAAGAATTTATTTTTAAATAGATAAAAAAAGTGTTTGATAACAAAACTCTTAGTTTCAAGGTGGTTTCAACGTTTCAAGTGCAGAAAAGAAACGATTTGATAAAAAAAATTTATTATCTACTGATTTGTAAAAAAAAAAATTAGTTTTTGATAGAAAATATTATTTTTGTAGCCAAAGTTTATTTTTAAATAGATAAAAAATAATCCACAAGATCATTTTTTTTTTGTTCAAAAAAAATAATATTTTCCTGCAATTAGTAGAAAAAATATGTCCAGATAAGTAGAAAAATTTACGTTTTGTCAGACAATTATTCTATTTGTTTTTTCATTGCAAATTGTTTTAAAAAGTAAATAAATAATGAGGTAAATAAATTAATAACGAAGTAAATAAATAAGGAAATGAATAAACAATGAAGTAAATAAATTAATAAGGAAGTGAATAAATAATTAATAAAGTAAATAATTAAATAAAGTAAACAAATAAATAATTAAGTAAACAAATTAATAATGAAGTAAATAAATTAATAACGAAGTAAATAAATAATGAAGTGAATAAGTAAAGAAATAAATAAACAATAATGTAAATAAATTGATAACGATGTAAATAAATAAAAAAGTAAACAAGTGAATAATGAAGTAACTAAATAACAAAGTAAATAAATAATGTAAACAATTGAATAATGAAATAACAAAATAACGAAGGAAATAAATAAATAAAGTAAACAAATAAATAATAAAATAAATAGATAATGAAATGAATAAGCAATGAAGTAAATAAACATTGGAATAACTAATTAAGTAAATAAGTAAATGATGAAGTAAATAAATAATAAAGGAAATTAAAAAATTGAAGTAAATAAACAACGAATACCTATTAATTTTTCTCTATTTTACACTTACAGACATTAACAAAAACGAAACCTGTCGAAGAATGCTGCAAAGGTTACACCTTAACGACAGATGGAGATCGGTGTATTCCAATTTGTTCGGAGGATTGTCGTCATGGAACATGCTCCGCTCCGGACGTATGTACTTGTGAACCAGGATATGGTGGTCCACTTTGCGATATCAGTGAGTTTATATTATTTCAATAAAAATTTAAATAATAAAAATAAAAATTTTTTTTCTTCAATGAATTCCTGAGAAATTATATTAAATTATTGAACAACCCTCTTTTGCCAAGTTATCGAATATATTGTCATACAAATAACAAGAATATTAATTATATGTGAGTCATTTTATAATCAACAAGTAATTTCTCTGATTCATTTCTTATCAAGTATACAGTGAAGGGTCACAATCTTCTTCTTCTTATTTTTTTTAAGATAGATTCTTTCTTCTTATTTGGTAGATTATCGAAGCATTGTTATTTATTAATTTTCAATCAAAATTTTATTTTGTTTTTGTCTCAAAACAAAATGGAATTATGATTCATTTTTTTTGCAAATTATGATTCATTTTTTTTTTGCAAATTTATGATTAATTTCTTTTATTTATTTATTTTTGGTTATTTATTCTTTTTGTTGATTTTTATTTTTTATTTATTTATCTCTTTTTTTCTATTTAGTTTTTTCTATTTACATTTTTCTATTTACTTTTTCCTCTTTTTCTTACTTATTTTCTTCTTACTTTATTTACTATTTGTTTGTTTACTTTAAATAAATTTTAATTAAATTTTTGATTAATTTTTTTCGATTCATTTACTACTCTTTCTGTTTATTTATCTCTTCCTTTTCTTACTTTTTTTCTTACTATTTATTTGTTTATTTTGAATAAATTTTTGATTTTATTTTTTTAACGTATTTTTTCAGTTGTAATTTATTTCTTTCAATTTCGATGATTTATTTATTTTTTTCTCTTTTTCGCAGAATGTCCATTCGGCAAGTGGGCGAAGGACTGTAAGAAGGATTGCAATTGTAGAAATGGCGCCAATTGTGATCCGTTCGATGGAAAATGCATATGTCCACGTGGCTGGGAGGGTGAATCGTGTGATGAAAAATGTCCCCCCGATAGTTATGGACAAAATTGCGCGGAAAAATGCCGCTGTCATAATGGTGGTAGCTGTCATCATATTTCTGGTGAATGCCATTGTACTCCCGGATACACTGGACCACTGTGAGTTTTTTCGTTCCTTTTTTTAATCCTTTCCTTCTATCTTTCTCATTTCAATTTTTTCTTCATATTTTCCTTTCCTCTTTTTCTATTTTCTTTCTTTCTTTTTTTCTTTCTATTTTTCTTTCCTCTTTTTCTATTTTCTTTCTTCCTTTTTTCTTTCCTCCTTTTTTTCCTTCCTCGTTTTTTTCATTTTTCTTTCTTTCCTATTTTTGTTTTTTTCATTTTTCATTATTTCCTATTTTTGTTTTTTTCATTTTTCATTATTTCCTTTTTTCCATTTTTCTTTCTTGCTTTCTTTTCTTTTTTAATTTTTCTTTCTGTTCTTTCTTCCCCATTATGAAAATACGGTCTAATTTTTTTTCTTTCACAGCTGCATGGACCTTTGTCCTGCTGGAAAACACGGCGAAGAATGCAAATCCGAATGTCGCTGTCAAAACGGCGGTTCATGCAATCCCAGAACTGGAGAATGTATCTGTACTTCCGGCTGGGTGGTGAGTAAAAAGAAAATTCTATTATTTATGTGAATTTTTGCTTTCCGCCAGAAATTTTTCTCTATATTTTTTTAACCACTTTTTTTCTCTTTAGGGCTCCGTCTGCGCGAATCGATGTCCCGAAGGAAACTGGGGAAATAATTGCACAAAAATCTGTGATTGTTATAATGGCGCGTCTTGTCATCATATTTCTGGTGAATGCGTCTGTAAGCCTGGTTTTAAAGGCGATAAAGTAAGTTAATTTGTTTTATTTTTTTTCCTTCAAATTTTTTTTGAAACCATGTTCCTAAAGTTCTTTACCTTCAAATAAACGATATTTATTTATTTCTTTATGTTACAATTTTATTGCAATAATATTGCGCCACGTAATAAAAAATAAATTATTTAAATTAGAATTTAAAATTTGATTTTGCTTTTTACAATAGTCACTAATTTTTAAAAATATTATTATTATTAATATTATTTTATTATTATTATATTAATAATATAATATTAATAATTATTTTTTTAATTCAAAAAATTAATTTTTAACTAAATATTTAATTTATTTATTTTCCATTTTATTAGAGTAATTTTTGAAAAAAAAATTGAAATAGAAAGTAAATTTCGTTCATTTGTACGTTCAAAATTTTAGTGTTATCAGAACTTGTCGATTATTTGAAATGATTGTTTAGGAATGTAAGCAAAAATGTTAGAAATATTTTCCTTCTGCAAAAAATTCGTTTGAAAATTAATTCAATAATTCATAGTAAACCTGAATAGAAATTTTTAGTAGTTGGAGTAAATATGAAAATTAGTTAAATAATTTTACCTAATTTAATTTCTATGAGTTGATGAATGAAATTTGAATTTTTAAAAAATGTAAGAACAAAAATAGTAAATAATTCTTTTTTTCGCAGTGTTTCGAGAAGTGTCCCGAGGGTAAATACGGCGAGAATTGCTCAAGTCGATGCAACTGTCGAAATGGGGCTTCATGTAATCCAATTGATGGCAGATGTGAATGCAGTCCGGGATGGAGGGGAAGATTTTGTGTCGAAAGAGCATGTTCCGATGGACAGTACGGTCCCAATTGCGAAAAGGTTCAAAATCCTCTTTACATTTATTTGCAAAAAAAAGAAACAAATTTTTATTAGTAAATTTTATTCATAAATTTACTTTTCTAATTTCTAAAATTGATAAATTCACTTTTGTAATTTTGAAAATTTACCTTTGTGAATTCTTCTATTATTCTTTGTATTCAACTGTAAATTTTTCACAGGTCTGTCAATGTACAAAAGAAAATACAGAACTTTGTCATCCCTGGGACGGTGAATGCATGTGCAAACCAGGCTGGGGTGGAAAAACATGTTCCCGACCATGTCCATTATTAATGTACGGCAAGAATTGCGAGCATAAATGCAAATGCAAAAATAATTCCCAATGTTCGCCGGTGAATGGCTCTTGTATTTGTGCTGCTGGATTCCGTGGCGAAGACTGCAGTCAGGAATGTCCTGAAAATACGTACGGCGAGGATTGTGCGCAAAAATGTGCCTGCAAAAATGGTGCCAATTGTCTTAGGGAAAATGGTCGATGCAATTGCACAGCTGGTTAGTAGATTTTATTTTTTTTTCCTTTTTGTCTCCTAATCGGACAAAAAATAGAAATTACCCGTTGTTTTTGTTTTCTAATGTAAGTAAATAGTAAAGTAAAAGGTAAGTAAAAAAGTAGATTTATTTGTATACTTGCAATTTTATTAGGATGGGTTGGTGTCTTATGTGATCGTCCTTGCAACGACAAATTCTTTGGTCTGGATTGTGAAAATAAATGCCAGTGCAAAAATAACGCGGCCTGCAATCCGCAGAATGGTAAGGGACATTTTTTTCTCTTTCACAATATTAGCTTTGATATTAATTAGATACAATTTTTTTTTCCTTCTCGCACAGCTATAACCAAATAAAAAGCATGTCTCCAATTCCAGTTTAATGATATTAATTAGAAAGTTGGATAATAATACTACTTGTAACCCGCTCATTATATTTTAGCATATTTCGAAATTTCCTTTGAGGTTTGAAATTAAAAAAAAAATTTGCTTAACAAATTAATCAAAAATTAATCAAATTCCTTTTGTTTACATAAAAGGAAAATTTAGCCAAATCGAAGTTTGGAATTATTAAAAAATTAATTTCAATCCGATTTCATCGATTTTTTGTCTATATTTATGGGTTACAATAAAAATTTTATCCAAAATACAAAATATAAATCTAAATTTCTATAGAAATAGATTTATATTTAGATTTATATTTTGTATTTGGATAAAATTTTTTATTGTTTTATTCGAATTTCGATATTTGATGAAAGTTTCTTGGAAGCATGCTTTAGCAATTTTTTTTATTTGTCCATCGAGTTGTTATCTTTCAACTTGTGTAATTATCTCGAGCACGATAATGAACAATCTGTATATATATACGTTAGGGAAAAAAGAATTTGAATCGAGAATTGTGTCACTTGAATAATCAATAATAATTGTTTCGTCATCATTCGTCACAATTTGTAGATCAAACTTTTTACTTTAATATTTAGAATATTTGTCAAAAATATGAATCAAATTTCTTCATTTCTTTCGTTTTTAAATTCTTTCAATTAAAATTCAAACGAATTCGAATTCTATTGAATTAGGTTTGCAAGTGAATATTTTTAATTCTAAATTCAGAAATAAATAAATTTTGTTTGATTTATTTAAAAATTTGCTCAAATATAAAATTTTCATAAAACGAGAATTTTGGTAAATGAAAATTGATTGAAATAGAAATTCCATTTGTAGGAAGAATTCTGTAAAAAAATTAATCAAAATAGAAAATAGAAAAAAAATAGAAAGAAAGAAAGGAAAAGAAAAAGATAATTAATTCGAGAAAATATAAAACAAAATTCTTTTTTCTCCGTATATTTTTCAAAATTCACATAAACTTTTCTATTTTATCGCACCTGAAAATTTGGAATAAGGATCTCTCTTTTCGTTTTTCCTTTTTTTTTGCACCTGAATTGTGTCAAGTTTTTCGCATTATTTTTTGTCTTTAAAATTCTAATATTAAATTGCACAAAAGCACAAAAAAATAGAGAAAAAAAGTGGTTTTTTGTAAAACGCACAGGCTCCTGTACCTGTGCGGCTGGGTTCACTGGTTTACATTGTGAAACCCGATGTGACAAAGGATTCTTCGGACATAATTGCTCGCAGGTCTGCGATTGTAATCCCGACAATAGTATTGACTGTGATCCAGCAACCGGTCGTTGTATCTGCAAGCCTGAATGGCGAGGTTCGTAAAATTTTCGATCTTCCATCAGGTGCATTTTTTTCATTCCTTTTTTTTTTGTTTATTTTGAACGACTTTCGTTAAACTGAATCGAATCAAACAATCATCATTTATTTATTTTTTATTTATTTACATTAATTTATTAATTATCTAAGAATAAATAATGAATAGTAATTAAATTAATTAAGATTAAAAAATAAGAAGAGTAAAAAGTAAGAAAAAAGAGTAAAAAGTAAATTCAAGTTTAAAAATAGAGTTAAAAGTAAATTAAAGTAAAAATAAATAGAAAAATAAATAAAAAGAATAGTAATAAATAAATAAAATCGCAAAGAAGAAGAAAAATTGAATGCAAAATGAAATGAAAATTTTGTCAAGAGTTTTTATGGTAATAAAAAAAAAATGAATATATAGGAATAAAATGCGAAACTCAATGTCCGCCTGGACATTATGGAGAAAATTGTCACGAACAATGCAACTGTAAGAACAATAGTTCGTGTGATGCGAATACCGGAATTTGTGTCTGCTCCCGAGGATGGGAAGGTCCAGACTGTAATCAACCTTGCAAAGAAGGATATTATGGTGTTGGATGTAAAGAAAAATGTCCTGAAAAAACTCAAGGTATGGAAATTGAAAAAATATTTTTTTTTCACATTATTATATTATGCAAAAAATTTTTATTTTATATTTAATCTCGGTGAATGGTACTTGGACATAATTTCATTATTCGCTATATTTCTTCATTTTCATCATATACACTAGTTCCACTTATTTTCCTAGTCCTTAATTACAACTTCCTGTCGATTCGCTTCAAAATTGCCCCGCGTAAATTCATACAATGTTTAAGTTTAATTTCAAAATTAATAGCATTTTCAATTGTCACGCATTTATTTTTTTTTTAATTTTAGTAAAATAAATAAATTATAATAACTGTATATTTAATTTAACATTCAATATAATTTATGATTAATTATTTTGAACAATGTTTTAAAAATAATTAATAAAATTTTCTTCTTTTATTTTTTAACGTTCAATATAATTTATTATTAATTATTTGAAAAAATAATTTTCAACATTGTTTTGAAAATAATTTTCATTCTTCATTACTCGTTACTATTTTTGACCTTTTTCGAGTCTTTATTTAAATAAACTTTTTTTTGTCACTAATTTATTTTTCAATGTGAGTAAAATTAAAGAAGCGACGATAATTAGATTGCTTGAATGGAAAATGGTTCTAACGCTAAATTAAAGGTGTGAAGGTAGTGAAGGTAATGGTAGAAAATTACAGTAGAAAAAAATTGCTTGTTTCCTTGTTTAATTTTGTCCTTATAGCACGTTAATTGAAAAAAAAGAAAATACACTAAAAAAAAAAACGATTCTCTCTTTTCTGCCTCATCGATTTGCCAATAGGAAAAGACATGTGAGTATTTTTCAAAGCTTTTTTTTCCACAGTTTGGACGATCCAACCCATCAATTTTGTGTATATGTACATTATATCTGTTACATCATTCAATTTTATATAATATTTAAATAAGAAATCATAATATGCAATCTTCTTTATTCAGCAGAATAATTTCTCATTATTTATACATTTTCATTAAAAATTTGCCGCGTGTTTCATTCAATTTTTTTTCTTTTGTTTTGAAATTATATTGTTGTGCACGGGAATTTTTATTTTTTGTCACTAATTGGGATTAATTAAATGGCATGTGTGCGAGAAATGTTAATCTAATGAAGACAATATAGTACTAAAAATTTTTCATCCGCAGAAAAAAAAATATTTAGATAATTTTGATTTCGAAATTTGAAATTTTATAATTGGGAACAATTTTTTGAACAATTTTGAAAATTCCAAAGGTCGTTTTCTATTTTGTCGAAAATTATGTTTATAACAATAATAAAAATAATATTAATAATAATAATAATAATAATTATTATTATTATTATTATTATTACTGACATTATTATTAAAATTATTATTTATAGTTTCTAATTTATATTTTTTAATTTGCAATTTATACCATTCATATTTAAATAAGAAATAAACAATAATTTTTTACAGCTTTTATATTTATTGAAATGTTCGTGAATGTTATTTATGTCAAATGTATCGCTGTATATTTTTAAATGTTTTTTTTTATTTATAAAAATTATTTTAATTAATTAATAGAAATTATTTTAAAAATTATATTAATAAAATTTTATAAATTATTCAGGAAACATGACTTGCGATCATGTCACTGGAGAATACATTTGCAGACCAGGTTACTTAGGACTTACTTGTGAACATCCTTGCCCTCCAAGTAGATATGGAATGAATTGTGCAAAACATTGTACCTGCAAAAATGGCGGTGAATGTCATCATGTCACAGGTAAATTTTTATATATTATATTAATTATATTATTATTAATTATATTATTATTATTATATTTATATTCTGTTCATTGAAAGGCTTATTAGCATTTAAGTCCTAGAAACTTATTTTTTTTAAATAAAATAAATAAATATTAAGTTTTTTTTAATAATACAAATTAATTTTTTTCAGGAAAATGTCAATGCTTCCCTGGATGGCAAGGTGATCATTGTCAAATTCCCTGTCCTGAAGGAACGTATGGTACCAATTGTACACAACACTGCAAGTGTCAAAATCATGGACAATGCAGACCCCACGATGGATCATGTAAATGTATGCCAGGCTGGGCTGGCACAAGATGCACTGAAAGTATGTGAAAATTACTGAAAGTGAATAATTCAATTTACACACCAATCTACTATGTTTTGTTTTATAGTGCAAAATTTTTTTATTTATTTTTATTTAATTTAATTTAATTTTCTATTCATTTTTGTATTTAATTTATTTTAATTTATTTTCATTTAGTTTTATTTATTAAAAAACTATTAATTAATTAATATACTTAATTAAATTAATTAAGTTTATTATTAGCTATTATTCAATTAATTATCAATATCAAATTAAAGTAATTAATTTACAAATACTTAAGTGTATTTGAACCATTATGACGTCACAGTTTTAGAACACAACATGCTTTACACAAACTTTGACGTCATAATGGTTCAAATGACCTTAACATTTTTTTATGATAATTAAATTAATTTACAATTACTTAATAATTTTTGTAATATTAAATTAAATTTGTTAAAAATTAATATTTTCTGGTGTATCAAATTAATTTTGCAAATAATTATCTACCTAATAGTTTTTGGAATATTAAATTAATTTAATTGATTTCCTTAAATTACGTTAAATTAAATCTGCAATTCATTAATAAAATTACTGATATTTTTGTAAATGTTTTATTTTTTTATAGATTGTAATTGAAAAATTCATTTTTCAGTTTGCCCTGAAGGCTATTATGGAGATCACTGTATGAAACCCTGTGAATGCAAAAGCGATTGGTTCATTTGTCATCCAGCTGACGGATGTATTTGCAAACACGGATTCACAGGTAGCCAGAGATTTTCTCTCTCTTCGAATAATGAATAAAAAAGAAAAATACAAAGAAAAGCAATTTAAAGAATTTTCTAAAAATTAAAAATCAAGTTTATAAAATTTGGTGTGAAAAAAATATTATTTGCGAAAATCGTATTCAAATATGTCCAAAAAGAAAAATAAATCTCGACAAAAATTAGATAAGCCTTGTTAAAGTTTGAATTAATTGTTTCTATCGATTTTCCCTAAAGATTTGAACGTTCAACTGAACGACAATTTTTTTTATTAATTAAAAATTTTGTTAACATCTTCCACCTTTAATTTTTCTTTATTCTTCGTTAAAATTTGATTTTTGTTTAAAATATATTTTGTTAATTAAAAAAATTTCTTTTTCTATAAATGCTTAATTTATTTCCAATTTTTGAAAATATTTAAATAGAAAACAATATTTGTTCATTTGAATGATCAAAACTTTAGGAAAATTTGATTATAATTAACTTTTTTGTTTACTATAAACTGATTAGATTTTTTTTCTTTTTTCAGGTTCAAATTGCGATGAACCTTTAATGTTTAAAAATATTCAAGAGAAAGAAGAGGCGGGTATTGGAAGTATTGTTGCAGGAGTTTTTGCTGCAATTATGGTAATTGCAATTTCTCTTGCTGCTTGGTTCTATCATCGAAGACGTGTTGCTGATCTCAAAAAGGAAATGGTTCAAGTTCAATATATTGCTGAACCAGTAACACCAACAGGTTCGTAAAATTAATTTTTTCATTTCGAAATTAATTTAAATCATCACCAAATTCATTCCTAATTTTTTTTTTTATTTATTCCCTATTTGATATTTTTTATTTATTATTTTCCATTTACTCCATATTTATTATTTTTTATTCAATCCATATTTATTATTTTTTATTTACTCCATATTTCAATTTTTTATTTACTCTTTATTATTATTTAATGTTCTTCCTAAAAAATGAATTCATTTTGATTTAAATACTTATTCAAATTATTAACACATTAAATTGGAATTTCTATTTGAAAAAAACTCATTTTTTATGAATTGTAGACCGAACACAATTCGATAATCCTGTGTATTCTTATCAAGGATCATCCAGGTTTGATGATGGAACTGCAACGTTACTTAATAATGTTCAGATTAGGAACGATCTTGGCAGGAAAAATATAAATATCGAGAAAATGAAACTCGGAGGACATGATGATGACGATGAAAGTTGCAGAGGTAAAAAAATTTCTTTTTACTAATTTTTTCTCCCTTCTTTCTCTTAATTTCCAACTATTTTCAAATCTAAAGTTCAATAATAAAATAAATAATAAAATTATGTATTATTTTCTTATTTTGTATTATTTTATTATTACTTAATTATTATTTGATGAGTTATTAATAAAATTATTCGATTGTGAAATTCAATATTAAAATTTAGTTTGAAAGTAAAATTTAATAATAAAATTTATGTAAAAATTAAATTAATATTTAATAACAGGGTTGCCACAGGTCAGGAAAATCAGAGATTCAATTATTTTTATGAATAATAAAACTCATCATAGAATTTCAATTATTTTTAATACAGTTTTAATAGAATTCCTCGAAAAATGTAATTATTTTTAAAAATTATATTAAAATTGGTCAAAAAAATTTAATTATTTAAAAATTTTTTAGTAAAGTTCTTTATGAAAATTCAATTATTAAAAGCATTCAATTACTTAATAAATGATTTATTTTTGTATTTAAATAATTGAATTCTCGTCAAATTTTCCAATTTAAAATGATTTAAAAATGAATTGCAGTTAAAATTTTAGATAATAATTAAATTTTGAGAAGGTTTCAAATTGAAATTTTCAATTAATTGAATTTTTTATACTCTTAACTGACAATTCTGTAGAATTAATTGTTTTAAAAAAGTTTAATTAAATATTTTCAATCATTTCATTTTTTTTTCTAATTTTGATTAAAGAATTTCCGAATAATCAAAATTTTGTAAAAAATTAAATTGTAAACAAATGGATTTGATAATTCTCAAGGAACTTTTGCAAAAATTATTAAAAATAATTGATAATTGCTTTCTTTCGAAGAATTTTGAGAAAATTTTTTTAAATAATGACATTTTTCGAGAAATTTATTTAAAATTGTATTAAAAATAAATGAAATCCTACGAAGAGTTTTATTATTTAGGAAAATAATTGAATTTTTGCACCGAATTTTTAGTAAATTCTTTTTAAATAATTGAAATCTCGAGCAGAATATTATTATTTATGAAAATACTTGACTTCTTACAACGAATTTTATTACAGGTTTTAAAAATAATTGAAATTCTTTGAAAATTTGATTATTTATGAAAATAATTGAATTCTTGCACCGAATTTTTATTAAATTCTTTTTAGAATTATTTTAAATAAATTTTGTAAATAATTAAATTTCTCGAGGATTTTATTTAAAATTGCATTAAAATTAATTTATATCCTTTGTAAAATGTTATTATTTATGGAAATAATTGGATTCTTAGAACGAATTTTATTTCAATTTTTTAAATAATTGAATTCATGTGAAAAATTGTATTACTTCTAAGAATAATTGATTTCTTGTGAAGGATTTTATTCCTATGGCATAATAATATTGATTAAATAGTTATTTAACAAAGAATTTAATTATTGATGTTTTCGAATAATTTTACAATTAAAAAATTCGTAAATAAATATAATAGAACATTTTTTTTGAGTAACTAATTATTTTTTAGAGTGAATTAAAATATTCTTTAGGGCCAGAGAAAAAGTAAAAATTTTGTCTGCAAATCAGGGAAAAAGAAAATTAATTTTTTGTGACAACCCTGAATAATTTATTCAAGACAGATTTTTGAAAACTTTTTTCTAGTTTTAATATACAAATTTTAAAGAAAATAAAAGTAATAAGAAGTGTAAATGAAAACGATAATTGAGAAAAAAAAATTATTTTTCAGGAGCCTACGGATCGTACGATCATTCAGCCCCTCAAAAAAATAAAGAGGCAGATTTGGGAAATCCCAATGTAAATATATATTATAGCATTGACGAGATGGACAGCAAGAAGGGTGAGCATTTCTATGAGGATATAAAACATAAAACTGCCGAAATGGAATACGATCATTTGGATTATTCACCATCAGCTCAAAACGAATGGAAACTTCATTATCATCACATGGCCAATGGATTTGGCTCAAAGGATGGAAGTGGTCCCAGTAAGTCAAAGGATCAAGATCCCGAATGTGGTCGAAAGTAATTAAATTGTGGTCTTCGATTCGAAAAAAAATTGTTTTAGACAAAAAGAAAAAAAGAAAATTTTTTCGACCAGAAAAAAAAGAATATATTTTCTAAATAATATTAATTTTATTGATTCTATTTTTCAACGAATACAGGAAAAAGAATTCTTTATAAAAAGAAGAAAAATACTCACGCAAAATATTCACTCTTTCAAATTCTAAAATATGGGAGAAAATTTATTTTTCCGCATATTATGCGGGGAAATGAAATTAAATTGTCTCGAGGAATTTGTAGAGTCTATTGTGAGACTTGCCTTGTACTAATATGATATAAAAAATGGACTGGAATCATTTATAATTATATATTTACATAAAAAGCATTTTTCATCGGAAATGCAATGAAGTATATTCTGAGGAATGCATTTTGAAAAATTATTTTTATTCTTATTCTAATTTTGTAAATATCTCTATCATCATATTTTTATTACTGATTCTTTTAAGAAAAATAGAGAAAAGAGTTGATTAACTTAACAGGTTAATAAGAAAAAAAAGGTGTATTTTCAATTCGGAAAAACTTTTTGACAATTTTTAATTTTTAATTTTGAAATTAAAAATTTTAAAAACCAGAGAATTAATTGTTAGTTTATTTATAAATAAGTTAATTTATTTATAAATAAATTATTTATCATTGTAGATTAATTATTATTGATTTCATATTATTCAATGATTTGTTAATTATTAATTTTTTACCCTTGTAATTTTTACGATCAAAATCATATAATTAATGATTAATATAGTTTTAAAGATTTATTGTGTTCAAGAATAAAAATTTCTACAAATGTCTACACCAACGCCATTTTTCACAGGTGTACCATTTTTTATTAATGTCGATAAAAGAAAGGAACCAAAATTTTATAAATTTTTCGATTGTTTTCTTTTTAATGTTAACTTTACGAATTAATTTTCCAAGCATCATTGTGAAAATTAATCGCATGTCTTTCAATACTCTTTGAAATGTATTATGCAATTTTTAGAAGCGAGAATGATTTTTTTTTTACTTTGCGATCTATAGGTTTTATATTATAAAAATACGTATATATAAAATATTGTTATGAAAATTATGATTTTAATGTTTTAAATTGATTTTTTTATTGTCTGTATGTTTATGAATGATGTGTAAGAAAAAGTAGAGGAAAAAAATTTTTTTTTTTTAAATATTTTTAGTGCAATTTATGGAAAGTGTGATAAGAATTGTAAGAAAAATTTATTTTTATTTTATAATATTGATTATACCGGAGAAAATTTTCACATTATCAGAAAGATTTTAAGAGGAAAAAGAATTGAATTTGAAAATGAATTGAAAGGAATTATTGTAAATTGAAAATTTTTCATCAAAATTGAAAAAAGTTTGAAAAATGTTTGCTCAAGAAATTTTTTTCTGTAATACAATAAAACAATCAATATTTATATTTGGAGTGATTTAAAAATTTGGAAAAGTATTGTGTAAAAAAGTGATTTTTATATATTTTAGTGTGACTGTATTTTTCTTTATGATTGTTTTTGACTCGAAATGTGTTTATTGTGTTATTCTCGTCGTATGAATTTTATGTTTGTGAAAAAATGAAGTGAATGATCTTCACCTGTGATAAAAAAAAAGAAAGAAAAAAAATTATACTATTGAAAAATAATTTACGTTACTATGTAATTATATGACTCTTTGGGAAATAATAAAACTTCCGTTTAAATGAATTTTTCGGTTTAGTATTTTTTCTTGTCACTGAAGAGAAAAATACGTTTGCGTTACAAAAATACATTATAGAAATAGTTCAGTAAAAATTAGAGTCTAATTTAATTAATTTAGCGAATTTACTTTTTATTCTATTGAATGATCGTTGGATTTAGAATTATGAATTTTAAATGAGAAAAATTAGATTTTTCATTCGCTTTGGGAAAGGATTAAAATAAATATCTTAATTGAAACTGTCATTTTTCCTTTAAAAGTCTGAAATGTTATTTTAGTTTTTAATAGAATAAAATTGAGAATAATAAATCAATTTCAGTGAGTTCCAATATTACTTTAGCATTATTTATAGTCTTTATGAATATAACTGTTATAGATTATTTATAGTCTTTAGCATGCTTGATAATGTAAACTTCTATAAATTCGTGTAGAATGCGCGAGTACGGTTGATATTTTAAATATTAATCGCGCGCTTAAAATGTTTTAAAAATGCATTTTGCTATTATTAGCGGTACTATAACAACTTAATAATAAAATGATGAAATCAATTTTGCTTATTTGCTAATTATAAATTCGATATAAATTTCTTTTTATTTTCAAATATCAAATTATGCTATCAGACGTTAATATTGTTAATAAATAACATAAATAAATAAATAAATAAAAAAATTCTTTTTAAATTATTTGATAAATTTCTTCTTCTTTTAATTATTATTTTTTAATTTTATTTTAATTAATAAATAATATGAAATAATGTAGCTTTTTATTAATAAACATTCAATAGATTAAAAAGTAAATTCGCAAAATTAAATAAATAATAATATTAATAATATAGGTAAATAATTGTTGAAACGCGTCTTTGAAATTTTGATAATAAAAAATTGTTCTTAATAGAAAAAAAACTCAGACGCGTTAATTAGGGGTATAAAAAAAACGTAAAACACAATTGCTGGTTACCATTGTCACATTTAATAAAATTACTTTAAATATACTTTCAATTACAAGAATACGTGTTTACTATTTTATCGTCAACGATCAACTGACTCATTCTCCGGAAAATTTTGTCTTTCGCCTTGTACACGAAAAGTGAGAAATTTTACAAAATTAAATGTAGAGGTCCTCAGTTATCAGGCTCACATATTTTCATGATCAAATCACACATCCTCCCCCCTTTGACAGGTCAACATTTTTAATTCACAATTAATTTTCAACAGGAAGTGGTGCAATTCGTTTCACTCCTCTCTCGATTATTCCATTCACAGTTCGAACCTTTACAACTCTCACAATTCCATCGTCGCCTGGAATTGTTTCCACGATTCGGCCCATGCACCAACGCATCGGTGGACTATTATCATCCCTTATTGTGACCAACGTTCCCACCTTTATATTTTCTTCTCCCGCAATCCATTTACTTTTTGAATTTAGTTCGCTAAGATATTCCTTCGTCCAACGTTTCCACAGATCTCCTTTGATTTTTTGAATGTGTTGCCACACACTCAAACGATTGATAGGTACTGTGGAAAGGTCAGTAGAAGGAATTGTCAACAGAGATTGTCCAATTAAAAAATGTCCCGGGGTCAACACATTTAAATCCGTGGGGTCCGAAGACATTGGTGTCAATGGGCGCGAATTTAACAACGCCTCAATTTCGCACATGAGTGTATTCAAATTTTCATACGATAACAATGTATCGCCGACAACTCGTCTCAAATGATGCTTTAAGGCCTTCACCGCAGCTTCCCACAGTCCGCCGAAGTGCGGAGTTCGAGGAGGATTAAAATTCCATTCGATTAATTCGTTAGCTAATTCTCGCTGAATTTTTACATTTCCCTTTTCTGAGTTTAAAAAATCGTAAAGGTCCTTAAGGTCATTATTTGCACCCACAAAGTTCGTACCGTTATCCGAATACAAGGCCTTTGCTTTTCCACGCCTCGCAAAAAATCTGCGCAAACATCCGAGGAACGCTTCGGTTGTTAAATTTTCCACCAACTCAATGTGGACCGCTTTAGTGGCCATGCACACAAACACCGCCGCGTACACTTTTAATTTTGCTCTATTTCGACTTCTTTTTTCCTTAATAAAGAAATGACCGCAATAATCCACCCCCACCCTCTCAAAAGGTCTCGCAGCAGAAACTCTCACCTTAGGGAGATTCCCCATAACATATGCTACTTCTTTAGGCTTTACTCGACGACACGTCACGCAGGACGTCACCACCTGGCTAACTGCTACTCTACCGTCGACGATCCAATAATTTTGTCGAAGATTATACAATGTCGCATTGATTCCTGCATGTTTCATATTAATATGGGCATCACGAATCAATAAGGTAGTCACAGGATGCAGTTTAGGGATAAGGATGGGATGCATTTGGTTTTTGTCAATGTCAGCATGTTGCAGTCGACCCCCCACTCTCAGGACACCATCCTCCATCACAGGGCTCAGTCGCGCGACCTTGGAACTTTTCGGTACTGGCTTGTTCAAGGAGAGAGCCTTTACTTCCTCAGGAAATTTTTCTCGTTGCAAATTCTTGATCATGATCAACTCCGCTGATCGTAGTTCATCTATGGATAATTCCCCTGCTACTCGTTCCCTTTTTCTTGCTCTTTGACAAAATCGAATGCACCACGCCAGCACTCGGACGAGCATCTTCACTGATGAATAACGATTCCACAAATTCCAGGGTTCATTGATCTTGTGAGTCAACACTTGGACCCTTGATGATTCTTCATGATCTCCTTGCACTGCTTGGAATCTTGGAGGCCAATTTTCCTCTTCTTTTCTCAACCAGGTCGGTCCATGTTTCCATAATTGGTTTTCCAGAAACTCCGCTGGCAGTTGACCTCTGGAAATCACATCTGCAGGATTCTCGGATGTTGGAACGTGTCTCCAATCCTCAGGCTTCGTTACACTTTGTATCTCGGCTATTCGGTTTGCTTCGAAGGTCTCCAGTTTGTACGGTGGCTTGTTGATCCAATTGAGAACGATCGTTGAGTCAGACCAGAAGGTCACTTTGCTGAATTTGACCTTGAGAGCTTTTTGTACTGTTTTGAACAATTTCACGAGTAAAACTGCCGCACATAGTTCCAGCCTTGGTAAGGAAATGATTTTGACTGGAGCTACCCTTGACTTCGCACACAGTAACAATGAGTGATACTCCTCTCCACTCGTTGATCTCAGATACATGCACGCGCCATATGCACGCTGACTGGCATCAGCAAAGCCATGCAGCTGCAGTTCCTGCGAGTTGATCAGCTTGGCTAATCTTGGAATTCGCCACTCGTTGACCAGCTTCAGTTGATCACGAAACAGTCGCCAGTTTTGTTCCATTTCCTCTGGCACTGGATCATCCCATCCGGACTTTAGCTTCCAGAGTTGTTGCATCTCCATCTTTGCTAAGATGATCACTGGTGCTATCCACCCTTGAGGATCGTAGAACTGTGCAGTCTCAGATAAAATGGATCGCTTGGTGATCACTTCCGATTCCTGTTTCAGCTCCACTTCAAATCCGAGTTCATCCGTCGCAGCATCCCAGACAATGCCCAGAGTCTTCGTGGTGGTATGATCATCGTCCAATTTTTTGCGTAGATTGCTCAAGCTATCAGCCATTGAACTTGTAAGTCGAGCATCGTTGGAGACCCATTTGCACAGTCGCAGACCAGCCTTGGATGTCAAGCTGATCAGCTCCTTGATCAGAAGATCAGCATCCTCATAGGTATCTCTTCCAGTCATTGCATCGTCAACGTAGAAGTCGTTTCTCAATGCTGTTGCTGCTTCCGGAAACGCTGCTCCTTCATCTTCTGCTAACTGCGCCAAGCATCTCGTCGCCAGAAACGGGGCTGAGGCGGTGCCATAAGTGATCGTTCTCAACTGATAGATCTTCAATGGCTCATTTGAATTAAATCGCCAAAATATTTTTTGGTATTTTCGATCATCAGGATGGATCAGAAACTGGCGATACATTTTTTCGATGTCCGCTCCCAGGGCAATCACAGGTAATCTGAAGCGAAGCATCAGTTCCATTACTCCATCCTGAATAGTCGGCCCCACCATCATCACCTCGTTCAAGGACACACCCGAATTCGTCTTCAATGAGGCATTGAACACCGCTCGCAATCTCGTAGTCAAACTCTTCTCTTTTAGAATCGCATGATGAGGAATGAAATATCCGTCTCTCTCGTTCAAGGTCACTTCTTCCATATGATTTAATTCCAGGTATTCACGCATGAATGCATGATACATTTCTCGTAACGTTGAATCCTTTTCCAGCTTCTTTTCCAAGGAAAAGAATCGTCGACGAGCAGTCTCATACGATGATCCAAGAGTCTCCGCCTCCTTTTTTAGCGGTAAACGGACAACGTATTGTCCCGATGCCTCACGCTGCACGTTCTGTTTGAAGTGTTGTTCGCATGCCTCCTCTTCTTGAGAAAGATGTCGCTCCTCCACCAGCTCCTCAATTTCCCAAAATTTCTCCAATTGCTGATGCAGTTGATCCCTGATGAGATTGCAAGAAAATTGGTTCGTCGGTTGATTGTTGTTCAACTTGCCAGTGACAATCCATCCAATCTTCGTTTTTTGCAGATGAGTGCGTGGGAGGGTTAACGGAATTTTGTCACTGCACAAGAGATCATAAAATATTTCAGCACCAATGAGTGCATCAATGGACGAAGGTCTGTCAAACGTCGCGTCAGCAAGAGGAATATTCTTTGGAATGTTTAGGATCTGTTTATTGATTGAAATATTAGGATGATTGGTTGTGATGTGAGGTAAAACAAGAAACGATAAATTTGCAAAATAATTACTGTGCTGAGATTGGAATTTCGCGGATACCCATTCTAAACTATTAATTTCTTGATTGTTTACTGCTTGAATAGCCGCGTTAGTTTTCTTTATTTTTAACTTTAATAATTTCGCAAATTTAGAAGTGATAATATTTGGCTGAGAACCGCTATCCAATAACACGCGACATTCATGTCTTTTTCCCTCACTATCAAACATGTCTACTATCGCCGTGGATAACATCACTGCAGAGGCATTACAAATGTGAAGATTTTTTGATAAGCTTACAGGTTCTTCACTTTTTTCATTTATTTCTACGTTAATTTCTACATTTTCTCTGTGCAATAAAGTGTGATGCTTTTTATGACATTTCAAACAATTACCGGAGTTACACTCGCTGATCCTATGATTTTTTTTTAAACAATTATAACAAAGTCCTAACCTTTTGACTAACTCTTTTCTATCATTTATTGACATATTCAAAAAATCAGGGCATTTATTAATTATGTGATTATCTTTACAATTATAACAAGAGTAACCCGGTTGTGTGTTTAAAAATGATTTTCCTATCGTTTTTCTATCATTAGTTGTTTGCGATTGATTGCTAGACCTTGTATTCGATTTATTAGTTTCACCACAGCCAGCGTGTATTGCTTCTAGTAGTTGACATCGTTCGCGTAAGAATTCTAAAAATTTATCAAATTTGGGCATTTTATTTCCGCTTACTTTCTTCTCCCACTCGCGTCGAGAATCTTTATCTAATTTCGCCGTGAGCAGGCAAAGCATGGGAGTGTCCCAGTGAACAGTGGGCTCTTTCAAGACCTTCAGCGCGCGCATATGTCGAACTATTCCGTCATAAAAGCCACGTAAACCCGCGACTGACTCGCGACTAATAACCGGCAAATCAAAAATTGCTTGAATGTGATTCTGAATGATCACTCTTTCATTATTGTATCTTTCATTAAGAAGGTTCCACGCTTCGACATAATTGTCGCTGGAGGTCTCGATGTTCTCGATCACTTGCGCGGCTTCTCCCTTTAAATACGATCTAAGATATCGCAACTTTTGAATTTGCGGAATTGTGGAATCATCGTGTATAACTGCAGAGAACGCGTCCCGAAACCCCAACCATTCCCCGTAACCACCTGAAAACGTGGGTAACGTCAATGTGGGCAAACGAATATTTCTCGTACGTTCGACCGAATCATCGCTGGGTGTGGTGGATCTCACGACAAGTTCACGCAAACTTGTTAATTCATTCGTACGCTGGGCTTGAAGATCCGCCTCTAATTGTGCGATACGGGCGAGGTGAGTATTCACCTCCCCACCCCGAGACAGCAGTTCCGATTGCCTTGGCTGTGTACGTTCGTTTATCAATTTAGCAGCGATAGCACAAAATTTAAAATGATTTTCCTCGAATTCATTACGTTCAAAATCGCGATTGGCATTTGGAGCTAATGTCTCGAGGCCCAATTGCGCTCTATCGTACTCTTTCCAATTATCATCCATTTTAGATAAACGAAGTTGAATCTCCTCGACAGCCGTATTTTCTACTGAACATTTATCCAAAAAGGTTTTAAACTTTGTTAGTCTACTTTTACAATTTGTGCGGCTTTGTCGATAAGCATCAATTTCGCTATCCATGATTATCAATAATTAATTTACAACTAAAATAAATTATTTACAATGAGACAATAATACTCGATATTAAATTTCAAAAAATTTTAAATTTTTAAATACGAAGGAAAATCTGAATGGATGATATTTACAACTTTGATTAAATAAACAGACGCTTACAATTTGATGCGATGGTCACCTTGAAGATGTAGAATGAAAATACCTCGAAGCGACGCTCAGCTTTTCGCGCCAAATTCTGCCCGCCAAATTCCCAAACTCCGAATCCTGATGAATAGATATTCGAAATGATCAGATGCTCCTGCACTGCATTCCGCCTTATGATAATTTCTGAGTTCTCGTGGCTGGCCCAAGTTGATAATTTCTCTTATTCCAATTCAAGAGACATGTGATTGATAGCTCGTAGCGTCCGATGCGATATTAATCCAATTGTTAACACCAGATTCTACTGTCGTTCATCACCATTTGTTAAGATAACACAGTGTTTTATAACTGCACATTAATATTCCTTGGTATAAATTCAATTCACTGCATATTTCACCACTCTTTCGTTGGCAAACCTATCCGGCTCGAAGGACCATGTTGAAACGCGTCTTTGAAATTTTGATAATAAAAAATTGTTCTTAATAGAAAAAAAACTCAGACGCGTTAATTAGGGGTATAAAAAAAACGTAAAACACAATTGCTGGTTACCATTGTCACATTTAATAAAATTACTTTAAATATACTTTCAATTACAAGAATACGTGTTTACTATTTTATCGTCAACGATCAACTGACTCATTCTCCGGAAAATTTTGTCTTTCGCCTTGTACACGAAAAGTGAGAAATTTTACAAAATTAAATGTAGAGGTCCTCAGTTATCAGGCTCACATATTTTCATGATCAAATCACACAATAATATTTAATTAATTTTATTAAATAATTAATAAAAACATTAATGGATAATAAAATTTTTATAATTTGTTTAGTTTTTGTAATATTTTATTATTAATTTTTTTATGTTCTTGTATAATGGAAGTTACATGTAAATTTAATATGCAACTACAACTGCGTTTTAGAAACAATAGAGAAGTTGAAAATGTTTTTCGAGATAAAATGCAGTTTTCAACTTTATGAGAATTTCAAATTGAAAGCTAAGCAATTCACACGTGCGTGACTATTCTTGAAATATTACATATCATGAAATGCAATTTTACATGGTCTTGACATTGCTTTTTGGTACCTATTTCTTCTAACAAAAGCCGTTAGAATTTAGATTTATTTTGTCGAAAAGATTTTTATTGAAAATATTAGTTAAATTAAATTTTTAATTTAATTTATAAATTTCTTGTTTAAAAAAAAGTTTTTAAGTAGAAAAAGTCATGTTACGTCAGACGAATTCTGATTATCTATAGTTCTAAATAAAAGAAAAAATTACTTTCCCTAATAATAATATTTTTCATGGAAATTCCATTTTTTAAATAAATTTTTAAGCAAGAATTCAATTATTTTCATAAATAAATAAAACTCAACGAAGAATTTCAATTATTTTTAATACTATTTTAAATTAATTAATAGAAAAATTCAATTATTTTCACAAATAAAGTTTTCCACAAGAATTCAATTATTTAAAATAAAATTTTCATAATATTTATTATATTTCGAAAAAATAAATTATTTAAAACAATGTTTATAAAATTCTTATGAAGAATTCATTTATTTTCAAAAGTAAAAAATAAGTTTTCACAGAAATTCAATTCTTTTTAAACATTTTTCGCAAGAATTAAATTATTTTCATAAATAATAAAATGCTTTCTAGGAATTCAATTTTTTTCAAAAAAATTTAATAAAATGCCACACAGACATTTAGTTATTCTCAATAATTTTAATAGAATTCTTTGTAAAATTTAATTATTTTTAAAAACTTTTCGCAATTCAATGATTTTCAATATCTACTATTTTCATAAAATTTCCAAACAGAATTCAATTATTTAAAAAATTTTTTGTAAAAAATCTTCTGAAGAATTCAATTTTTTTCATTAACAATAAAAATTTTTTAGGAATTCAATTATTTTAATTACAATTTGCATAAAATTAGTCGAAAGTAATCAATTATTAAAAATTTTTTATAAAATTCTTCGCGAGAATCAAATTATTTTTATAAATTTTTAAGTTCTTTTCATTAATAATAAAATATTCGTTGCAGAAATTCAATTCATTAGCAGGATAAGAAAGAAGTAAATATTTTTGATGAAAAATTAGGAAAAAGTCAGAAAAATAAAATATAGAATGCAATTTTTGTCAGTTTTGTGAAGTGTCTAAAACGAGTTTTTTTGTCGTCGAGTTTAATTTTTCGATAGCTACTTTTTTTTCTACTATTTTTTATTTTAAAAGCTACTTTTTGCTGCTTTTTTAAAATTAATTATCGAGTGCGAAGTCTGAAATTTAAGTAGAAGAAAAAAAGTCAAATAAAAAAATTGTCCACTTCGATTTTAAGTAGAAAAATAAATGTTCTGTCAGACTTTAACTAATTTTCTATGCATAAAGTTTAATCGCTTTGTTTTAAGATTCCCCTTTTTTTGAACGCGAACTAGGAGTTCACTGGATAAAGTTAATTTTAATAAATAAAAAGAAAATCGTCGCCGTCTAGACATTTTTTTTTTTTGCATTTTAAGTAGAAAAAGGCAAGTATTGTCAGACGAGTAAATTATTCTTTACTCTACAAATGTTGTTCTATTTAGGCTATATTTATCTCGTAAATAAGAGAAACAATTTTTGTTACAATTTTATTAAAAATGTGATGGCAAGACCGTCGTGTTATTTTTAGTAGAAAAAGAAATTTTATTCAGACAGTCATTGCTTATTGTAATAAACTCAACTGTTTAAGATCATACACATTTTTTCGTTTAATTAAAAATTAAAAATTAAAAAAATTTCCTAAATTTTGAAAATATTTTTATTTACCTATATTTTTGAAAAAGTGGTAAAAATATTTTTCTGTTCAGACCAAACTTGGCATTTCAGGGGAAAAGTTACAGTTTCGTCAGACATTTAAAAAAAAATTGAATACACAGGTATGTCTCTTTAGCACAAAAATTTGTTTTGCAGTTTCGTTTCAAAATTTAAAATTCAAAAAAAAAAAAAAAAAAAAATTGCTTGCAAAGTGGAAGGGAGAAATGAAGGTGTGTAACATTAGTTAATTTGAAGTGCGAGCAAATGGGAAGAGCATCGCAGATACCTGTGCCTTTTTGAGCGCAATATTGATTTGGTATTTTTAGATCTAGTCGCGGCGACCCCGCGGCGTCAAATATTAACCCTCGCCCGAAATAGACCTCACCACTATGTCAACCCCTCTTATATTATGTCGTCTGATATCTAGATCACTTTTGTTCAAAACTCAATTGTCACAATGGGCACAAATTATTTTCTATTTATAACATTTCTTATACATTATAAAAAAAGAGATGAACATTTATTTTAAAATTAACTTTATTCCCTTTTTCACTCTCACTCAGAATTATTCTCCACAATTAAAGCACTCATTTTATTATACAACTGAAGGAATTAAAATTATTTATATAGTGTCTAAAATTAAGTAAATCAGTAATTTTTACCATATATGTAATGAAAAAAAAATTGTAGAAAAGATTTTCGTTCTTATTTACATTTATTTTATATAATTAATCGATAAATTTTGATAATTATAAAAGAGCGTTTGTCATATAAAAATTTATTTTATTTTCATTTACTTAACAAATTTATAATTTATTGTATAGTAATTAATATTTTTTTAATAGCATTTTTTTATATTTTTCGATACTTTTTGTCTTACTAATGGGTTTTTTCTGTAATTTTTCGTTTTAATTAATAAAAAATTGTTAAGGGGAGGGTAAACCTATTTTTTCAACTATAAAAAGAAAATATTTTAAATATTTAATAATAGTAATTTTTATAGTAATTTTTTGAGAGGAATTCAATGATCATAAAAAAAATTGGTCAGAAAATATTTTCATCATTTTTGAATTTTTATTTTTTCTAAAAATTGATAGATTTTGAAATCCATTTTGTAGAAAATATGTTTTTGTATCCATAAAAAAATTAATATTTACAAAAGTTTTAGCATTTTTTCAAAAACAAAAAATAGTTTTTTCAAAAAAAATGTTTTATCGAATAAATTTTTAATAATTTTTTGAAAAAGTTTATGCTCTGAAATTAGTTAGAAAGAAAAAAAATGAGTTTTCGTATAATAAAATTTAATAATAATTATATTTTTTAAAATTCTTAACCTGACAACTATTTTTTTTTTTTTTTTTTGAAAGAATGCTAAAACTTTTGTAAATATTAAGTTTTTCATTTAGCAATTTTTTTTATGGATACAAAAACATATTTTCTACAAAATTACTTATGGATTTCAAAATCTATCAATTTTTAGAAAAAATAAAAATTCAAAAACCATCCATTTAAAAAACAAATAATACAAAATATTATTAACATAGAAAAAATACATAAAAAATATAAAATTTTGTTTGGTACTTTTTGCTTTTTATATACTATTCGATACATTTTGACTTATTAAAGTACTTTTTAGTCTATATAACATTTTTTAAATAAATAAATAAATAATTGTAGTAAATAAGAAAAACAATTTTATTACCTAACATATTAAATTAAAAAATTAAAAGTCTATTAAAGAAAATTAAATATCAAATTTTGATCCGTATTTGTTTTCTGTTTAAATGATATATTATTGTAATATAAGTAATGTGATTCAGACTAGTGGTTATAGTTCAAGTCTACAGTGCTAAAGGTTCCGAGCTCGATTCCCAGGAGAGGGGCAGATATTTTAATTTCATTTTAATAAATAAATTAAATTCGATTTTTGAAAAACATGTAATAATCAATAACTAGATTACAATTAAAAAGATTAATAAACAAATAAAATAAAGAAATTTTTGAAATTAATTAACAAATACAAAAAAAAATAAATTGATTCAATTCTAAAAAAAATTTCTATTTATTTATTACTC